AGAGCGGAGAAGGCTTTGCATGCTCTCCTGCCCCCAGGCCAATCAGGCAGCACTTCAAAGCACAGTGTGCTCCTGGCACTCCCCCCACCCAGGCCCTGATTGGCCTGGGGGTGAGGGAGCATGCCAAGCCTCTTCCATGGCATGGGTGCCTAGTGGGAAGACAGGCAAAGGGGCTTCCCCACTCCCAGACCATGCCCCTTCCTGTTTAGGCCCTGCCTCTTCTGGGGTGTCCTGGGGCTACTTCAAAAATTATTGCTCACCCCTGGTCTAGAGGCTCCTTTCCCTTAATTCAACACAGAACTAGCTCAAGCTTCCACCCAGTAACCTGGGATCCTTACACACGGCTCCTGGGCACCTCTGAGAGGCAGTATTTCTGCACTCACAAACACAGAATCTGAGTGTCAAAAAGAAACTTCATGGTGTTAATTTGGGAAAACACAAACAGGGTTCATAAACATAACCCTTGAGTAAAAGACCCACCCCAAGGAGACTGTACAGTGTCCTTCCCCCCTCAGGTTCTTAAGTTCAGCGACCCAAAAGTCCCTTTCATGTGCCTAACCCTTCTCTGCAACCCACTTGGTCAGTGCAGACCTGTTAGTTATTGAGCTCCCAGCCTGGGGGATGCAGCTGTGGTCATAGAACATTGTATATGGAATAATAGTGAACTGGGTTTTGCTCACCAGAGCCCTGGGTCTGAGGCCGAGTCATGTTCAAAGGGCTGGCTTGAGCTGGCAGTTTAGCTACAAGGTGCAATTAATTTCCACTCTAATCTAATCCTCCTCCCTGAGGAATGAGGAGAGTATTGTATTTTGCAAGCCCCCCTCCCTGCAAGCTAGTCTCATAGATGGTAGCAGCTGGCAGTAGAGCTTGTGATGTTGTAACTCTGGTAAGCATTCACAGGCCCCTTTGGGAGCCTGTTCCAGCTCCTGCTTGTTGTAGGCACTCAGGCTTCATCTACACTGCTGGTTTTGCTGGCAGTGAGTATGCAAATAAGGTGCAGATTAGCATATCACTTTGCCTCCTTTGCATAATTATGCACACTTTTTTGGGGGGAAAAAGTAGTGTGGATGGGGTTTTTTAGGGCAAAACCCCCATTTTCCGCAAGATCCTTATGCCTCTCCCAGATCTTGCAGAAAATGGGGGTTTTGCGGGAAAAAAAACAAGTCCAAACTACTTTTTTCCTCAAAAACTCTTTGAGCAAAAAGTTGTTCATAAATTATGCAAATGAGGCATGGCACTATGATAATCTGCACCTCATTTGCATAGACATAGCTTCAGATAGTCCCCAGTCCAAACCTTGGTGTGGTAGCCAAGAAGGCAAACACCAGCACAGCACCTGCCTCGGCAGCCTTATTTACAGGGCTAAACTGACCTATTGCTAATGTTTCTACCACTGGATGGATTTGAATCTGGGTCCTCTGGAGTTTAATATAGGAACCTCTGTAGCTTGAGCTATAAAGCTAGCTGGCTCACAGCTTAGGCTGTAGAGCTCCCTTGTTCTTATCTCTCACTATAAGTGGTCTAAGTGCCACTACATGGGACAGTGAGCCATGCTAGGTGTGTGTTACACTAACACTGTGTCTCCTGATGGGGCACTGAAAATGGTTTGAGTGCATCCTACACAACCCTCTTCCATCACCCAGCCAACACAAGCCCATTCTCTTGCAGACAGCACTTTTGAGGGACTCCGAGGCCACCACTTCCCTGAGGGAAACCCAGCAGAGATAGGGTAGCTCTGACAAAGCTGAACAAGTGGCCCTGCACAGGGCAGGGAGCCAGACAATCAGATCATCCTTAGCCTTGGCCTGTCCTCAGAGCCTCCTGTGTCCATAATAGATGCTGAGTTACACTCATGAATGCCAGCATGTTGGACATTTCAGTACTTTTGGGCTCATCACCAAGGTGTCGGTGTGCCTCACAATTTTGCATGGATTTTTCTTCCCTATACCTTTGGGAGGCAGGACTGTGTTTTCCTCACTGAAGAAGCCTTCCCTCCACAATTGCAGCACTGCTGTGGAAATATGGATGTGGGGTTTCAAATACTCTCAGCTTGGACATGCCTCTTGTTTCTTTAACTGAATGAGAGGTGAGCCATACATCCTATTCACAGAAGCCAAATGGACAGTGAGGTGAGGGGGTGACCTGTCAGCATTGGGCCCTGATGCCACAGAAAATTCAGTGCCCAAGGTCACAGTATTGGAGTGTACAGGGGACAACATGGGCTGCTAATCAGGACACCTGGAGCTAATTAAGAATCAGCTAGTTCTGGTTAAAAAGACTTCCCTTCAGCTAGCTCAGTGTGTAAGGAGCTGGAGTAAGACAATCATCGAGCTGGAAGAGACCTCAGAAGGTGTGACGGCGCGTTGGGGGTCCCCCGTCTCCTGCACCCCGAAATGGCACAGACTGCACCAGCCGGTGGAATAGAGGAAGTTTATTGCCTCTCCAGGATACAGCACAGCACAGATGTAGTCTGGTCACAGAGCTGGGCTAGGATGCCTCAGGCCCCCTTGAGATGGGGGGAGACTGGGCCCCTAAATTCCAGCCCCTCTCCCTAGGCTGTCTCCTCCATGCTCCCAGACAGCAACTAACCCACACTCTTCCAGCTCTGTCCCCCAGCCAGGGCAGCATTCCATCTTCCTTTGTTCCTCTCCATGGGGGGTGTCTGGTTCAACAGGTTTGGTGTTACCTTTGCATAATGAGGTTTTCCCTGCTGGGTCTTGCTCCAGACAGCAGAGGTCACCACAGCCCAGCAAGTACCCCCACTACGTCACAGAAGGTCATCAAGTCCAGCCCCCTGCCCATGGCAAGACCAATCCCAACAAATCAACCCAGCCAGGGCTTTGTCAAGTGAAGACTTAAAAACCTCTAGGGATGGAGATTCCACCACCACTTCCCTAGGTAACCCATTCCAGTACTTCATCATGCTCCTAGGGAAATAGTTTTTCCTAATATCCAACCTAGACCTCCCCCACTGTAACTGGAGACCATTGCTCCTTGTTCTGCCACCTGTCACTACTGTGAACAGCCTTTCTCCATCCTCTTTGGAACCTCCCTTCAGGAAGTTGAAGGCTGCTATCAAATCCCCCCTCACTCTTCGCTTCTGCAGACTAAAGAAACCCAACTCCCTCAGTCTCTCCTCATAGGTCAGGTGCTCCAGCCCCCTAATCATTTTGGTTGCCCTCCGCTGGACCCTCTCCAATGCGTCCACATCCTTTCTGTAGTGTGCTACGTCGACACTGGCATGATTTTCCGAAAATGCTTTTAACGGAAAAGTTTTCCGTTAAAAGCATTTTTGGAAAGGCACGTCTAGATTGGCAGGATGCTTTTCCGAAAAAGCACTTTTTGCGGAAAAGCGTCTGTGGCCAATCTAGACGTGGTTTTCCGCAAAAAAGCCATTTTCGTGATCAGGGCTTTTTTGCGGAAAACAGTACTTTTGGCCCTACACTGGCCCTTTTGTGCAAAAGTCTTTCAGAAAAAGACTTTTGCCCGAACGGGACCAGCACAGTATTTCCGGAAAAGCACTGACGATCTTACATGAGATCATCAGTGCTTTTCCGGAAATTCAAGTGGCCAGTGTAGACAGATGGCAAGTTTTTCCGCAAAAGCAGATGATTTTCCACAGCCCAGATGTGGCCTCACCAGAGCCGAGTAAAGGGGAATAATCACTTCTCTAGATCTGCTGGCAATGCTCCACCTAATGCACCCTAATATGCCATTAGCCGCCTTAGCTACAAGGGCACACTGTTGACCCATGTCCAGCTTCTCATCCACTGTAATCTCCAGGTCCTTTTCTGCAGAACTGCTACTTAGCCAGTCGGTCCCCAGCCTGTAACAATGCTTGGGATTCTTCCATCCCAAGGGCAGGACTCTACAATTGTCCTTGTTGAATCTCCTCAGATTTCTTTTGGCCCAATCCTCTAATCTGTCTAGGTCACTCTGGACCCTATCCCTGCCCTCCAGCGTATTTACCTCTCACCCTATCTTGGCGTCATCTGCAAACTTGCTGAGGGTGCAATCCATCCCCTCATCCAAGCCATTAATAAAGACGTTGAACAAAACCGGTCCTCGAACCGATCCTTAGGGCACTCTGCTAAAAACTGACTGCCAACCTGACATCAAGCCGCTGATCACTACCCATTGGGTCCAACATTCTAGCCCGCTTTCTATCCATCTTACTATCCATTTATCCAATCCATACTCCCTTAACTTTCTGGCAAGAATATTGTGAAAGACCGCATGAAAAGCTTCGCTACAGTCAAGGTATATCACATCAACTGACTTTCCCATATCCACAGAGCCAGCTACCTCATCATAGAAGCTAATCAGATTGGTCAGGCATGACTTGCCCTTGGTGAATCCATGTTGACTATTCCTGATCACTTTTTCTTCTTCCAAGTGCTTCAAAATGGATTCCTTGAGAATCCCCTCCATGATTTTTCCAGGGACTGAGGTAAGGCTGACTGGTCTATAGTTCCCTGGATTGTCCTTCTTCTCTTGTTTAAATCATAGAATCACAGAACTGAAAGATACCTCAGAAGGTCATCAAGTCCAGCC